CGAATTTCAAAATGAATGAATGTGATCGAAAAGATTTCATAAACAAAAACCGATTGATTTGATAAATCTCTTGATGATATTAAAATCATTTCGACTTTGATCAAATAAATTCATTGAGATCTTCTTTAAGAAGATTTCTTCGTTGCCTCAATAGAACAAAATTAATCTTGTGATCATTCTCATTTGAAAAAGATTTTCTATTATTTTCTTCTCTTCTTTGTATCACTGACAACTGAATGAATAGAGATGGCTTAGATTACAAATCTCTTCGGAATATCTTTTCATCTTAATAAATTCATTCGAAATGAACATCAAATAGACATTGACATTTTTCATCGAAACGAAGATTTTCAAGAAGAAAATTAATAAGCTAGAGTCCGATTAATTCTATATTTTGTGCATCCAATAATTCCTATATTCCCTAATATGTCCTGTATCTTCCATATATTTTAATCAATTTTCCTACAGCTTTTAGAGTTTTGAAAGGTTCTATCAACATATAAGAAAAAAATAATATCGATCGAAATATGAAAGAAATATAGAATGACAGAAAAAGAGGAATATAGGAATTATAGGTCGAATTGGACCTTAATTAATAAGACAAATTTTACTAACATCGAAAGAGAATTAATACTCGTCAATGGTCTCACTTTCCATATCGAATATTTTACTTCAGAAACGACTCTCCTAACTTGTCTGTCGATTTTCACAGAAATTGTCGTCATCATTGCCTATTGATTTCATCTGGAGTTCTTGAAGGAGAGTGATGTCAAATGAAATTGAAAAAGCAATACAATGATAGGATAATCAAAATGTTAATCGAATTCAAGAATTGACTTTCAGTATTCAATTTAACATTCGTGAAAATTATTGAACAAGGTCTAAGACAGCTATAAGTAAAGTAAAAATAAATGCGGAAACCTCGGATTCAAATCCGAGAGTTATGTGTACTTCAAAAAGTGATTGAGACAGATGAGTCATCCTAGAATGTGTGGACATCAATATTATCCTGGAAAACCTTTTCTATAAAACACTTGATTTCTATTGGCTACTCTCAACCAATAGGATTTGGGGATGAATACAGCTCAGATTTGAACTCTGCACCTTGATT